TGTGTTCTGGGTCCTCCTCCAACCTTACCCAGTGTCCCAGAACTTCTATAGCCCTTGCTCTTCTGTGTCTTCTCCAGGGACATGCACTTCATCTGCATCCCTGTGAACAGAGACAATGCCACCTTCTCTACCTGTTGATGTGGCATCACTTAGGCCAAAAGACAAAGCATTTTTACAAAAAGGATTGCATTGGAACTACACAGCAACTTACATGTTTTCCAGAGAGATAATATTATGTTTATTTTATAGATACATTTTAGAGATTAGTTAAGTTCACAAAGCTGGCAAGTGTCAGACCCAAGTCTCAAAATGGGGTATTCTTACTCAGCTATAGTAATGTGGCCATCATAATAATCAAAGGTCCTTTACAAGGGAAATGTTCATGGACAAAACACAACTTGAGAGTCCTTCTGTCTCTTTCTGGACGTGTCCAGCACTTGGAATGGCCTCTAACACCTTTGGTGAGCCAGCTGGCCAGAGTGCAAATAGCCTGACATCTGGAGTCTTCTCTATTTCTTATTCTCTTTGCAAACTTGGGCAAGTCTTAGCCTTTCTGACCCTTGGGTTCTTTGTCAGTAAAATGGGACAATACACACATACGAGAGGGTGGTGTTGAGTGGATTGAATGAAACAACGCAGGTAATGTCTTTGCTCAGAAAATGGTAGCTTCTCTGTCATTTCCTTGTCCTGCTTGCCCTGTGCATGGAGCCCGGTTGTCTCTCCTCACCTCTGCAATGGAGGTCCTCCAGTCCTAGAGACTTCTTGCTGTGGTGTCTGACTCTGACAGCCACCTGGCTTGTCCTTACCAGGTAAGAGCTGATCCCTCCCTTCTCATAGCATCATGGAAATCCCACCTCTTTCTAAACCCAGATAGAACCTGGTGAAAAAGCAGAGGTGGATCCACTTTAATATGGCTAGTCTGTCTGCATCTGTCCCTGACTCTTACCATTCTGAGCCTCAGTGGGCACAGTGGAGCAAAGAAGGAGCTAGAAACAGGAACATGAAATGGTTCTGGGTGCCATGCTCTTTCTCAAGGAGCTGGAAACCTGAACGTGCCTACTGGAGACTCTGAACACTTCACGCATTAGAGCAAATCCAGTACTGAAGGTTAGAAAGCATTTTACAGCAACCTGGTGTGCCAGAGAGGCACCAGCGCTCTTTGGGGTGGGCTTAAATATAAACCAAGTGGCCAGGAGGAGTGATTATTTCTACAAGGGATAATCTTCCTTATACACTGTGTTCTTTCTTTCCATGACCCCTATTAAAAAATAATAAGTAGCCAATTATTATCAATTTATTGGCTACTTCTTATAATTACATTATCTATGACTTACTCAGTGGAATCTAATTTGACTCTAGAGTTATTTGGTGGGAAATAGTTATTTGGTTGGCTGCAAAGTGCCTCCCCACTCTTTATTTCATTTGGTACTCACATGAGCTCTGTGAGGTATCTAGGGCAGCTATTCTCAACTCCAGTTCACAATCTGGGAAACAGACTCAGGTCAAAGCATAACACGATACCCAAAATGGGAGTAAAGCCCATGTCAACTCCCTGCTGGACCCTCTCCTCCAGCACACGGCCTCTCTGAGGACATTGCTCAGTGATTTTAATAGTGATCACTTCTGTAGCACTTAGAAGTTTGCAAAATGTTTCAAATTCCTTATCTGATTTGATCTTTACAACCATCCTGTGAGACAGAGAAGAAATTATAATACCCATTTTTAACAGAGGAGTAACTGGTTTAGAGAGGTGACTTGCCCAAGGTTATGCAGCCTTTAAGACATAAAAACTGGATGAGAAATCCGGAATCTTCGTTTTGATAAAATGCTTTATTTCAGTACAGCACCCCTGGAGTCCAAGGACTCACTAGAAACATGTGGCTTAAAAGTGACATGCAACAACCACATGGCATCATAATTACATTTTTTTATAAAAGGCTATTCTTCTGGGACAGAGTTTCTTAATTTAGGGAGTCCATGAGCCTCCCCTGAGATAGTATTTATATATGTATATGCATTACATTTATATATGAATATGTATTTATAAAGCTGTATTTTGGGGAGATTCTTTAAAACTATCATCAGATTTGCAAAGGAGCGTGACCCCCCAAACCAGTGACCTCAGTGATTCTGGTCTCTTCTCCACCAGCTGAGGACTAAGTTGGTAGTGGTAGGGGGCTTGGGACTGGGAAGGAGGTGAGAAGGCAACAGCGGAGACCAGGGGGACAGAGTCATGCATGCGAAAGGAGGTGCATGTTTTACCCAGGCAATGGTTATGCAGTGACAAATACTGCTGAGGTCAAAGACTTGAATGAATTGATGTATCCAGCAGTTAGAGAAGTTTCTGTGGAATCGTGGGGATAGAAACAAGATCATAGAGAGTTAAAGAAGATAGAGATGAGAGGGAAGACAGTGAGTGTGGAAACGCTTCTTTAAGTGCTGGCAATTAAGGAGAGTGGAGAGACACAATGCTAGCTTGGGGGGTTGGGGGGATAGCAGGACCAAGGAAAGTTCTCCCTCTTTTTTTTCCTTTCCCCTTAAAAATGGAAGATGATGTGTTTGTCTAGGAAGAATGTATTTGGAAGGGAGAGACCCAGTGAGAGAGAAGACACCTAATTAGGAGACAGGAAAGGATGTGTCCTGAGCTGAGGTGGGGGGTTAACTTTAGAGTAGATTTGAGACTCTTCTGGAGCTGGAGTGAAGATGGAAGGGAGAGGTGAGGACACAGAGAAAGTGTGAGCTTCTTGTACATTTCCTGCCAATTTCATCTATGGTAGAACTTAGGGCACTTGCAGCAGACAGCAAGCTACGCCAACCAGCCAGGCTGCTTCCTGCCACCCCTGGGCACAAGGCCTCTTGGCTCTGGGCATCTCTATGGTAGAACTTAGGGCACTTGCAGCAGACAGCAAGCTATGCCAACCAGCCAGGCTGCTTCCTGCCACCCCTGGGCACAAGGCCTCTTGGCTCTGGGCATCTGACAGCTTCTTACTGTCCTCCCCAGTCTGTCTGTGTCTTCCCATTTCCCAGCTTCAGGTACTGACCCTGCCAGGGGCTTCTCCAGCTGTTCCCTGGGGGGCCACCCCAGAGCCCCCAGTCTCCTGTGGGTGATTCCAGTAGTAAAATACAGAAATGTATTTGGGCAATTGTCTTCATCGTTGACTTACTTTATTGCTAAACCTTTCAGAAAACTTACACTACACAGTGTACAGATATACCATGCTATAGTTATAAAATAGATTATATTTGACAATTTCTGTTTGTAAACCTTTTTTTTTTTCTCCAACTTCAGCAGAAATGGGCTTCCATATTGTTTCTAAGGCACAATGAGAGTTTTCCTATTGTTTTACTTTTAGTGCCTTTCCCAGTGACATAACCTCCTAAGCCTATGAAAGAAATGTTTTTAATGAGATCTCAAAGCACATATAATCCTCCCCCCACTAATTCTCCAATTGTCCTATTCACCTCCAACTTCCCCTTCTAATAGAAGGTAATAGAAGGTTTTCAAAGACTTATCAGACTGCCAAAGGAGCTTCCTGAAGCTCCCAAGTCATTGGGCCATTTTCTCTGGGGACAGGTCATCATCTAACAATCCTCTCTGCTCCCCAAGTTAGCCTGTAGCCCCCCCTCCCACCCTACTGTGAGACTGTCCCTGGCAGGGGTGTGACCATGCTGGGCTTGCTTTTTAACCCTCTTTCCTTCTTTGGGGACCTGCTACACCATGTGTACAACAAAGGCATAGATCAAGGTTGGAATGGATTTTGGGGGGAAGCTCAGAGCCACGTGTCAACAGAGAGTCCTCCTCTGATAACCATTTAAAAAATAAAACTTATTCTCATGCCCCATTGCTCTCTGTCCCCTCACACTGCTTTGTCATTTTTCATAAGATGTATCTCCCTCACCTGACTGTGTGACTGTTTCTCTCTTCAAGTGAATGTGATCTCCGCAAGATCAGAGGTGTTTTCTATTTCATTTTTCATAAGATGTATCTCCCTCACCTGTGTGACTGTTTCTCTCTTCAAGTGAATGTGATCTCCGCAAGATCAGAGGTGTTTTCTATTCTCAACCTGCTATATCTCCACTGGCCTAGCACAGTGCCTGGTGCCTGGTAGGAACTCACTACACAATTGCCAAATGCATGGTTGAATGAATCAAGGAAGCAGTGAGGTACAGCAAGGAAAGAGCCAAAGTGGAAGCCCCGAAATTCTGGTTCACCTTCTGCCTCTGTCATCAGCCAGTCATTAGCCACTGTGTGCCTCACTCCCACCGTCTATAGAGCATGCTAGCACCCGGAGCCCCTTACGACACTGACTTTCCTTTGATTTTTGAAAGGATGGAAAGTGAAAGAGAGGATGTGGGCTTTGTTGATATTCAGGGTCGGTTTACGTTCTAGCTCTGCCACTACCTTGGTGACCCTGGAAATGTCACTTCTCTTGAGTTTCAAACCCTTTTGTATAATAAGGATAATACATTTCCTCTCTTAGGAGGGTTGTGAGCACTGAATATAATGATATGTGTTAAGAACTGGGTTTGTTCACATTTCATGCTCCTATCAGGGATCAGGTTGCCCTTAAGGAAGGGAATGGTCTCTGCTCATTCACCTTTCCCACTTCAGCCGACTGGTTTGAAAATAGCCCGTCATGTTAATAGGCATGAAACACTGCCCCTAGGAAGCTGGTGCTGCCACACGGAGCCTCACCAGGACTTTGCTCACATGCGTTGCTAAGTGCCTTTGGGTGGCCTTCAAGATCTCAGCACACTGGAGCTTCCCAAAGTTCTGGGATAGTGGCACTGGGTCTCACATCACAGGTGTTGTGTGTCCTTCCCACTCTTCTCCCTGGGCTCTGAGCTGCCACATTGCAGGAACTAATTATTTTACCAGTTCAGCCCTGAATTTGATTGGCATCTTTTATGAGCCATCCTACATAAGTCATCTAAATCTCTCAAGATGTGGAGCCAAGTTATTAATGAGTCTGTCTTTCCCAAGGTGTCACGGAGAGAGCCAGTGAAGAGGGGGGCTCACACAGACCGGTGGAAAAAGACTCACTTCAGTAAAATGGCAAGTTTGTCTCTGTTCCAGCAGAAATGCACATGGACAAAATCCTGAGGCTGGAGCCAAGACTCAACTTTGGCTCTAATCACTGCTCCTCTGACCTGTCCTCAAAGCTTCACCTCCTCACCTTGTTGTGCAGGATTGCCAGCTGACTGGGGGCATTTTGTATTCTGCAATGCTTCCTGGGGATCAATCAGGTGAAGTTTGTGCCCTTCAGTTTAGTTTAAAATAGAAATATGGTCTTAGAAACAGTGCTTTCAGGCCTCTGCTTTTGTATTTTTGTTTACTTATTTGATTTATTTTTTCTATTTTCCTACTTTGGACAAACTTTCTTCATTCACATGTCCAGCTTCTCTTTTTGTCACTTCTATCCCTCTTTCCTTTGTGTCCTTTTTTTCTTTCTTCTCCTCCTGTACCTAAACTTAGGTATGCATCTGACAGATATTGACTGAGAGGTAAGGGCAGGGAGGGCATCAGACAGAGGAAGCAGCACACACAAAGACTCACAATTTAGGAAAAACAGGATCCAGGTGATGAAATATAAAGCTGGGAGGAAAGTGTTGGCCAGATATTGAATGACTTGGCTTTCTATTTTGTGTTTTGATTTTATCCCAAAGCTTATAGAATACCATTAAGAAAGGTGACATGATCCAATTCTGTTTTATACCAAGAATGGATCGGGTGATGTTATCTTGGGAACAAATTAAAGCCCAGACTAAAGGAGGAGAGTGGACAGATTAGAGAGATGGAAAGGAAGAAAACAGGACAGTAAGGCATAGTGACTGTCTCAGTGATGGTGCAGCGGGAGAAACAGGAGTCCAGTGTGACTCCCAAGCCTTGGCTTGGTCAGATGGGCACATAGTGTTGCTGGTAACTGAGAGAGGAATAAGGAGTAGGTTTCGATTGTTGTCAGGGTTGACGATGCATGACTATGGACATGAAGACAGACAGCTAAACAGAGATGAGAGGGGAGCATGAATGTACAGTGGCACCAATTTGGGGAGCTTGGGTGTGATTTCTGCTGCAGGGTTCAACTACCCAGATGTAAAAGTGAACCTGCCAACTGGGGTTTTACAAGTAGTCACCAAATTCCCTTCTTCCTGGTTCCTGGATGGCCCTTCCGATACCACCACTCTAGAGAAAAAAATGCAGGACATCATCAAGGTACACCTATTTTCTGGCCTCCAGGACCTGACTTACAAGATGACCATGCACAGAATGTTTGTCTGAAACACTTGCCTTTCCTCTCTGCAGTTGTGATTTGGCCAGAAACGTGGCTGACTCAGGTGATCAAGTACGGGCTTGATGTTTCCATTTAGTCCTTAGACAGTGGCCTTATTGGGATTACTTATAGATTACTTGAATTCTTATTCAGGTTCTGTGGTTTTTCTACTTACAGAATAGTGGTTTGGAATCTAGTCTCTGGAAGCAAAAAGCCTGATTCAAATTTTGGCTCTGACCTTGACTGGCTGTGTGACTTTGGGTTATCATGAGGTTTAATTAACATACATAAACACTCAGGCCTGTGCTTGACAGAAAGGGTAACTGTAGAAGATATTGTTTCTATCAGTGTGATTATGAGCTAGCTGTATGACCATGGACAATTCAGCTGTCTTTGGGCAACAATGTCTTCATTCACAAAATGAGGGTGTGATATGCTCTTTCCACACTATGTTCTGAGAAGACTTGGGGCTCCTACACCCCATCCCATCCCACCATTTCATTCATTTGATCTATTACCTTAGGGCTTCAAGTTTTCACTTGAAGAAAGGGCTCTGAAAAAAAAAAGTTGCAAATCATCGGGCCAGATGATTGAAGGTTCATCCTCAATGAAAACATTTTATTCTCTGAGTTAAAGAGATGCTCTTGACAATTGACAGTGGGATGAAGTGGGCAGGGAGGAGTTCTTGGAAGAGGTGAGTTGGAAACTAAAATATGGGTGTTTCTAGCAGCTGATGAACCTGGAAGAGAAGTTGCAATTCCTAAAGAGTGGCGAGTATGGAGCATAAATACAGAACCGAAGCTCTGGGGGGAGAAAAAGTTTCACAGACCAATTAGGACCCATCCCTTCCCTGAGGGAAGGAGAATGTGTAGACAAGGGCTTCAAGTATAGTTGTTCCAAGTTGAAGTTAGACCAAAGTGGGAAGCAACAAACACCAGAGGTGATTGTCTCCAGTGAGGAAACTGTCACCTGGTCCCTCTTCTTTCTTGCATGGGTGGGAAAACACTGTCCAGAGGAAGCAAGCTCTTATCTATGGGTGCACCATGAGTGACCGACTGTGGCAGCCACTACTTGCCATTGACCAACTAACCATTCCTCCTCCATCCTCAGCAATAGAAATTCCAGTGTTTCAGCTGGGCACATGGCTGGTTGAGTTAAAGAAAACATTACCTAGCCTCTCTTGGTTGGGGATGACCAATAAAATGTCCATGCAAGTTACAGACATCCAGGAGAGAATTTTAGAGGGCTACACACAGCCAACAGGGACCATTTTGCCCTCCTCACCCCACTTCTTTCTGCTTTCTTGGTTGGGGATGACCAATAAAATGTCCATGCAAGTTACAGACATCCAGGAGAGAATTCTAGAGGGCTACACACAGCCAACAGGGACCATTTTGCCCTCCTCACCCCACTTCTTTCTGCTTCCCTCCTGGATGGCCTGGAGCTGCAGTGGCTATCTCTGATCTTGGAGTCACCTTGGAGTGGATCCCATGTGACTAGGGATGACAGAGCAGAAAGAGCTTGAGTCCTGTGGACATTGCACGGCCACCACAGTAGCCCTGTACTGCCTACCTCTGGACTTCCATTGCTATTCCTGGGCCCTATTCCCAGCCATGGAATGCCCTGGCAGAGCTGGAGCTGGCCAGGACCCCCGGTGCTCCTCAGCTACCTTGCTTGCAGCACTCCTTTCATGAACCCACTGCTCCTGCGTGTGGAACTGTGTGGATGTGTCTGCATGAGTGGATATCCAAAGCTGAAATAATTTTCAAAGCTGTCGGTTCTGCTCTCCCCACCACCTTCTCATTTCCACTGGAGGAGCGAGTCTGCTGGTGATTAACTTCTTTCCTTTTTCTCTTTTTCCTTTTCTGAATTGTTTACTGTCTCAAAGACTCAATATCCACTGCCCAGAACGTTATAAGGCTAACATTTTGCCAAGCTTGTTTTAGTTTTATCTTTACCTAAAGAAATAAATATTACAGATACAACTGAATCCTCTTTATACTCTCCTTGAGGCTCTTTTACTTCTTCCAATAAACCATTCTCTTGAACATGTGTGCATTTTCCTCTATTTTTGTGCTTTTTCTACGCATGTGTTTGAATCCATAAGTAATTGATAACATTGTTTTGTACGTATAAAACGCGTAAATGGTACATGTGTAAATGGTATATTATTATGGTTTGAATTTTTACACTGAACTTGAGCTTTTCAAGATCACCGTGTATGTGTAGCTCACTGAAGTTCACCACTGCGGCTCTGCACTGCACATTTTCCATTGTCCTGTTGATGAGTATTTAGATAGCTTCCTAATTTTCAATATTGAAAAATAATACAATAATAAACATCATCCTACATATCACACAACACATAGGAGTGAGTTTTCTTCTAGGGTATATATGTAGACATACAACTAGTTGTCATAAAGCATATATATCTTCTTTTACAAGATATTTCCAAATCGTCCTCTAAAGAGATTAAAACAATATACGCTCCCTCCAGGATGACAGTGCCTATTTTCCAGAAGAACTTGGTATTGTGGAACCTTTTGATTGTTGGCAACTAGATAGGAGTGAGATATTATCTCTTTGCTTTAACTGCATTTCCCTGATTATTAATGAGGTAGGGGCATCTTTTCATAGTTTTGTAGACCATTTTGATTTTCATTTCTGTGAACTGCCTGTTTTTATATTGGGCTGTTTGTCTTTTACTTATCATAGTTCTTGCCTCACACACACATGAGCTTTTTAGATATTAATCCTTTGTTGGTCAACTGCAGAACAAACTCCTCCAAATCTCTCACTCCTTTTTCAGCTTTGTTCATAATGTCTTTGGTCATAAAGAAGTCTTGTATTTTTTTTTTTTTCCTTTTTGTCTTTTTTCGTGTCCAGCAATGAACCGCAACCCTCAGTGTCGCACCCGCACCGGACCGGGACCGGCAACGGGATCGCATTCCTTTTAGTCTTTTTTCGTGTCCGGCAATGAACCGCAACCCTCAGTGTCGCACCCGCACCGGACCGGGACCGGCAACGGGATCGCAACCCTCGGTGCTGCGCCCGCGCCTCGCTCAGCCAGTGAGCGGGAACCGGTCTGTATGTGGGATCCGAACCCTCGGCGGGAGCGCCGCTGTGCTCTCAAGCAGCGCACTGTAGCAGTGCGCCACCGGGCCGGCCCAGAAGTCTTGTATTTTAACATAATCAAATTTATTTATTTTTTTTGTGGTTTTTTGGAATATTAAGAAATTCTTTCCTGATCATATATTACAAAAATATCTTCTTGAGTTTTCTTCTAATAGTTTAAAAGGTCTTTTTAAGCTTTAGCTTTTAATCCATCTGGAATTTATTTTGCAATGTTTTGTGTTATTTTGTGTATGAAACAGAGTTCTAATGTTAATTTTCCAATATGAATAGCCAATTTCCATGACACTATGTATCAAACAGTCTACACTTGGCCTACTTATTTGTAATCACCCCATCATGTATCAATTTCCAAAAATCCATAGCTCTTTTTCTGGACTTTCTAGTTTATTCCATTGGTCTCTGTATCCCTATACTTCTATCGTACTATATTTCATATGTTCTGATTTCTGTGGTATGAATTTCTCTTCTTTGTATTCTCTCAAAATTCTTTGGGCTGGCCTGGTGGTGCACTGCTACAGTGTGCCGCTTGGGAGCGTGGTGGCGCTCCCGCCGAGGGTTCGGATCCCACATACAGACCGGTTCCCGCTCACTGGCTGAGCGAGGTGCGGGCGCAACACCAAGGGTTGCGATCCCGTTGCCGGTCCCGGTCCGGTACGGGCGCAACACTGAGGGTTGCGATCCGTTGCCGGACACGAAAAAAGACAAAAAGGAAAAAAAAAATTCTTTTGACTGTTCTTGGCTCTTTTTACTTTCAAGCGAACTTTGATTAATCTTTTAACCAAATGCTTTCTTCCTACCTCTTTCAGCAGATACTTCTCTCCTATCTCATCCCCCTTCCAAAGGCTGCTGCCCTCAGAGATTTAGGTTCCAGTCCTGACTCTGCTGCCAAATGCCCGTCTGTTCCTGGGTGAGTCACTTAATTTCTCTGGGTTTCAGTCCCTCACTTGGAAGACCACTCTGCCTGCCTCGCACTAGGTTCCAGTCCTGACTCTGCTGCCAAATGCCCGTCTGTTCCTGGGCGAGTCACTTAATTTCTCTGGGTTTCAGTCCCTCACTTGGAAGACCACTCTGCCTGCCTCGCAGGGTTGCTGAACTGATCTAATGAGATAAGGGTGTGAGAATGCTCCAAAGAGTTCAAAATAAGTTAAAGTTAGAAAGGAGTAAAAACAATCATCTCTGGATAGCCTGAGACTATGAAATGTAAACTTCAGATGATTTCTGGTCCCAGCTTTCTCTACCCTTTCTGACTCTCCTTTCTCCCAAACTTCCAGTGTTGTGAGATACAAAAGTCTTCTGTGCAGAATAGAGTCGTATTTCAGACTTTCACTTTGTGACTTAAAGTAAAGTGCTCAAACTCTTTGAATTTCAATTTTTTTTTATCTTTTCAAGGGGCATAATAATTCCCTCCTCCAAGCAGCGTAGCAAAATTCAAAGGAAATAATATAGGTGACAGTGCTTGGTAAAATGCGAAATTCTATAAGAATCACAAGCGTTATTAATGAGTGTTCTTGCTGACATTTACATGTAGAAAATGACCTGCAGGAAGGCAATGTGAATGTGTTGGAGTACTTTGCTATCGCCTCTTGAGCCAAGAAATGTAAGAGAGTCAAACCCATTTTGTCTGCAAGTATGGCTGATCCAGTGCAACGTCTCCATGCTCTTCTAGATGATGCATGAAGTTTCTTTCTTAAATACCATTTGATTTAGACTTTGCAGCCTGAATGTGTGGAAAAGTGGCAGTGGTTGAGGAGCCCAAGATGTCTGTCTGCACAAACAGGCAGAGCTATTCTTGATACAAATGCTGGGCTCAACACTGTTCCAGACGGAGTGAGAGCCTTGGGTACTCAGGTACAGGAAAATCAGTCTTTGTTCCGTCCTCGCTGAGTGCATTTCTGCCCCACCCCCATCTTCTGAATCTAAATCTCCAGGTGTGGAGCTTCGAAATCTGCCTGTTTAACAAGCACTCTAGTGTCTTCTGCCTGACACTAAAGTTCATTATGGGAAAAGTTAGCCATGGGAACTCACAGAAGAATGGTGCAACATCCTGCCGTTATGTGCCACTTATCTGAGCTCTCTGTTCTTCCAGGCCTGGGATCTTACAGCCTAAACTTTTCTCTAGAGCCATAAAATGAGGACATTATAACCAGGGACAAGGAAAAAAGCTCATCCTCCATGATGTTCTGGAGATGAACATTGAGGTCAGCCCTGATGCAATGGGAAAGCACTTTCCCTAGAGCGAACATATGCTGCTGCCCTCCTGTCTTTCTAACCCTTTGTACTCAGGCGACTGGAGCATCTCTTGCTCCTGAGCCAGGATCAGACTTGGGCTTGGGCCAAATGACATTCATGGGCCAGATGACATGAGGCTGTAGCTCACCCGGTTGATCTAATACAGAAAGCCCTTTTCCCTGGTAATTAAGTTCTTGCCCTTTTCTCAGTTTTACTGAAACAGGATTTGTTCTCCAGGTACCTCCATGGCTGACCTCGGACCCTACTCTTTTGACCACCAGTACCTGCTGAAAGTTGCTGGAATCCTCCTAAACTAATATCAGGACCAACTACCCTGTTCTCAGCTTCTGCCACTTCTCTGCTGTGGTTTGGGAAGAACCCTGGATTTCTGACCTGGGTTTGGATCTTAGTCCCCTGAACTCATGATCTGCCTCTTTCCCCCCCTGGGTTCTATGCCATTTCTGACGCAGTCTCATTCTGTTAACCCCTTGTGATCCCTGCCTGCTCTTGTTCCCAAGTTCATGCAAACTTCAGGGTTCCATTCACCTTCCAGGACTACTGTGACTAGCTTTACCTGAAGATGAAGTGCATGACTCTTTTCCTTCTGTTTCCTGAGTTCTGAGTCTAGGATCACCTTGTGAAATTTACCAATAAAGTTTCAGTCCAAACAGACTGGGAGGATAGTGGATTTTCTTTGTTGCTGTTTACATGTAAACATGAAGCTCAGGAATAGGTGCTCTGGTAGTAAATGTGATTGTATTTTTAGATCCACCATCATGAGTGAAGGATATATTATCCTAGCTATTGGGAATTGTTCTTGGCAGAACCGGTCACACCGCCCTCACAGGGAAGCCCACATCCTGTGACTGCTTAATGTGGTCGTAGCAATAACAGGGAAAAGAATTTAAATGCTCAACCCTTTATGACAACTCTGAAGGGCTATTCTATTCTAAGGATCCCTGAGGGGTCAGCTGAGACAAAAGCAGCTCCTCCTTCTGCCTGTTCCTACCTCTTTCCCTTCCCTTTCCCTATAGGAGTTGATTCTGAGAGTACTCTCATGACACACAAGGCTCCATCTCAGTCTGATTCCTGGGAACCCCAGCTTGTAATAGGTGTCCATGGCTATTTTCTTGCACAATCAGCCAACTCTCTATTGATTCACCACTTTCTTTCTCTGTCCATCCATCCTCCCTGTGGTGGGCAGAATAATTCCCACCCCTGCACAAAAATGCCCATGCTTTAGTCCCCTGGAGTCTGTAAATGTGTAACCTTGTATGGCAAAAGGTACTTTGCAGATGTGATTAAAGTCAATGACATCAAGATAGATTATCCTGCAATATTCAAGTGGAACCAGTCTAATCATGTGAGTCCTTAAAAGTGGGAAAACTTTCCCAGCTACAGTCAAAGACGTGACTCCAGAAGAATGGTCAGAGAGATGCAATGTTGTTGCCTTTGAAGAGGAAGGAAGGGATCACAAGCCATAGAATGTGGGAAGCCTCTAGAAGCTAGAAAGGGCAAGGAAATGGATTCTCCCCAGAGTCTCCAGAAAGGAACCTAGCCCTACTGACACCTTGATTTTTAGCCCAGTGAGACCCAAGTCAGACCTCTGGCCTACAGAACTGTATGACAACAAATTCATGTTGCTCTAAGCCACTAAGTTTGTGGTAATTTGTTAAAACACCAATATGAAGCTAATATACTCCCTTGGAGGTATATTAATACTTGCTCTTTGGTATGACCTTGGACATGCATTTCACCTGTCTGAATCTTAATTCTCTCCTCTGTAAAATGGCCAGTTTGGAACACATGCTGCAAAGCCCCTTTTGACTTGACATTTTATGGTCCTAACTGGCTGGATTTCCCACTAAGCAACATTTGTCTTTCTGATGAGGCAGTGTTTGCTTGCTTTTTTGATGATTATGCTGCAGCAAGCCTATCTGAGACACTGCAGGAAGCAACAGAATGGACATGCACCAGGATCAGGAGGGAGATACTCTTTCTCTCTGTCTGTCTAATCCTTCTAGTCCATAACTCCTCACAGTCATGGGAAAAATGCTTCTTAGCTGGTGACCAATTTATAAACCAGAGCCTGATGACCGATGGATTTTGTCATTTTTCTCTTTACTAATGGACCTGCAAGTACAATTGCTTTTTTTTTTTTTGGTTATGCTGAAAATAATTTGTTAAAAATAGTAGGTACCAAGCTTAGAGGTGCATCAAAGGTGGTAGTGTTCTGGCTGCTGTGAAAGTTAACTCAGCCTTTAGGGAAATACACCATATTTAGCATTAAAAAAAATGTCCTCAGCCTGAATTTTGTCAGGAGCAATTATATGAAATGCCACTGTAATTAAAAAACATATAAACCCACTAGACACAGCTGTTGTAAAAGAAAAACAGGACACTAAAATGGGATAACACAGAGCCTCATCTGGCTCCATCACCCTCCTTTTGGGTAACCAATTGAGTTGCCACTTCATTAACTGTTTTGTGATAAGAAAATCTCAACTGACCACAAAATAATGATGTCAATAGCACAGTGACAATAATGACTCTGGTTAAACTAATCTGGAGTGGTATGCTTTTAAAGGACTTTCTGTCTATTCCCTTATTTGAGCCCCAAGTTCTAAATATTTCCATTGGAAAGTGCAGGAAGTAGAGAGGGTGGGCACCATGCACTTGAGTAACAGATGAGGAAAACATGGCCTCATTTGAGTCTAGATTTCTCTGTGTCTTCATAGCAGCCAGCAGCCAGCCTGGGCTAGGACTGGTCTCCATGTCAAAGCCTGTGTCTACAATAGGTCATTGCCCTTGGCAGTTGGAGTCACCCAAATCTGGGTCAAAACTGTCTCCAAAGACTTTTTACTGCAAACCTAAGGCTACTGAAAACAGTTCTTTAGTACTCAATAGAAAAAAATAAAATTGATAAAGAGTTATTTACTAAAGTTAGCTAGAAAAAGGCCAAAGAGCTAACTGGAGGAGTTAGAAAACCATAAGAAACCTGGGAGTGGATTTCAGACTGTTACCTGCCTACTTAATAAAGAGTTATTTACTAAAGTTAGCTAGAAAAAGGCCAAAGAGCTAATTGGAGGAGTTAGAAAACCATAAGAAACCTGGGAGTGGATTTCAGACTGTTACCTGCCTACTNCCAGCCTGGGCTAGGACTGGTCTCCATGTCAAAGCCTGTGTCTACAATAGGTCATTGCCCTTGGCAGTTGGAGTCACCCAAATCTGGGTCAAAACTGTCTCCAAAGACTTTTTACTGCAAACCTAAGGCTACTGAAAACAGTTCTTTAGTACTCAATAGAAAAAAATAAAATTAATAAAGAGTTATTTACTAAAGTTAGCTAGAAAAAGGCCAAAGAGCTAATTGGAGGAGTTAGAAAACCATAAGAAACCTGGGAGTGGATTTCAGACTGTTACCTGCCTACTAGAGTTTGTGACACTGGCCAGTGTCATCTCCAAATATGCCAGAGTAGAATTCACCATTTATCCTTCCTCCTGGGGCACCACTCATGTTCCTTGGAAACAATTACAGGAACGCTCTACATTGTGGCTTCTGTAAAATGGCATCACCAACATCAATACTGCTTGCCTCTCCCCCTCCGAACCAGGTGCAATTAGGCTGAACAACCTGAGGTCACTGGTAGGTAGAGGCATAAAAAGGAATAACCGTCAAAGACATCCCCAACTCATCTGACCAATGAGGATATGAGACTAGGTCTCTTCAAATATTCCATTTATTCCAACAAGATCCCATTTTACATTTGGTGTAGCAGTATAAATTTGACTTAAAAGCGTTGGGTTTGAGAACCAAGTGGCAACTCTGACTGGGCTATCATGTAATCATTTTGGTAATTGTCACTTAGCATCCATGAAGGTCTGTTCTTTCATCTGTGAAATTGATGTGATAATAGTGAATCTCTTTTTCACCATATAAGGTGTCATGAGAGTCAAACACCTAAATGCTAGAGCACCATAGAGAAGAAATGTTACACTTTTATTTTTGGCTGTAGTGCTAATTATCATAAGAGTAGTCTAATAGTAACAATGATATTTTAAGAATCAGCAATTGTGGTAGTGTTGGTAAAGCACTTCTGGGATTATTCACATATGTGGCTACTTGCTGAGGAAGCTACCTATGTGCTGAGATAATGTATACTGTGTCCTTTCTTGAATTATCTCTTTGGAACTTTACAACAACCCTAAGAGGCAGGATCCTATTATTTTCATTTTACACAACAAGACACCAAAGCAGAGAGAGAGAGAAAGAGAGAGTTTGAAAGCTGATATCTTGAGACACCACTGAGTTCTACTGACTTTCACCATTGGAGGCACACTTACCAGTTCCAGCAGAGCACAACCTTGAGTCTTTATAGCGTTGTTACCAGTGGCTTGTTGCCTTAGCCATGAGGGGATATGGTTGCTATTAGAAGTTTCTTCATATAGGATAGAACAATTCACCATTCAAAG